TAGATTTTGACTTAATTTGGATATTGTATCTAATAAATATCATAGCCAATCACAGACAAAATTTGAATTGATTAGATAGGCTCCTCYGCAGACCTGTCATCMTTTTRACTCTGATTGCCTGCAGAGGAGTCTATGCATGAGGTTGGTTTTCATCAGAATAGTAAGTTCTAGTTAGCCTAAAGTCCTCATAATCATTTCAATATAGTTACTAAATATTATAACAGTTTTATTATTATAGTTGAATTCTCAGGGCTTTCAATCTCAGGCAATTTCATACGTCCTGATTGTGTCTTGAAATTGATAAATCAACCATTATTTATAAAAAAGACCAAAAAAATGGTTGCATTTTTTTGAGGTTTTGCCATTCTCTTTTAAAACTAACTAAAGATACGTTGCAATGTTTCACTTTGCTACATGTATATTCATGCAAAAAACTGAGCACATTTTTTTGTAAATAATATACCGTTACTTAATAAAACATGGCAGTTTTGCCATTCTCTTGAAAAACTGAGAAATTACTTTATATTGCAATGTTTAGACCGAAAGATTCAGCACAAATCTTGAGACTCCTGGATTATCTGGGGAGAGTTGACAGCCCTGGTTCTACATAATAATCTATATGTCAAATTATTGGACACTTACTAATATATGAAAACTTGATTTTACTAGATATAATATTATTGACTACTGACTACCTAAGGTAATTCCAGGCAAGGGTCTAAAGCAGGTAATGGTCCCTTCAAACAGGCTAGAAATTGTTATATCCACAATATTTTGTAGCAATTACACCTTGCCACACACATCTGAAATTTGTGTGAGCACTGTAGCGTCAAATTTTAAAATACAAGTTAGTAACCTTTGAGTTAAATCCATGTTGAAGGGGTATCGAATGGTAAAATCTGAGCCTCACCGAGCTTGCGAGCCTTGGGAAATTTTTGGTGAGTCTCRCAATTTCTGAGACACCATTCTATACCTCTTGTTGACACAGACAAGGCCTTTAAGAATGCTTTCATTAAAATTACCAG